CTGTTTGCTGCCAGCAAACAAAAAAAGCTACCCACTGATTTCTGGTGGCATCGTCTTTTGGAAGAGAAAAAGATGCTTTTCTTCGCGTCCAAAAGTAAACGGACAAGCAGCTTTGGGAGAGATGCTGACAAAACTGCACCTCAAATGATCTGCGGTTCTTCTTTTGTATTTCCAAAAGTGTAGACACTACTAAGGCATAGTATGATCTGCCGTTGTTAGTGCCTGCTAGAATAGTTTCCGGTGTGGGTAGGTCCAGCGCTGTGATTGGCTCTGGCTGGGTCTGTATTAATTGGACGGCACAACCTGATGTCAGGTTTTGCCCAGATCTCGTGAAGATCTCGGGAGGAGCTGTTCAGAGAGGAAATCACGTTCACGAAATCACGTTCTTGGATTACGGCAAAACCCCTGTATCTTATGTTTAGAAACTTTTCAGAGGTTGAGTATAGACATCCAGCATTATAACATTACCTATATGTATTAAAAGAGGGATCAGCATAATAGGTCCCCTTTAAGTAATCTTGAACTCATGCAGTTATATATGTCGGTTCTTGATTCAGTGCCGTTGGAGTGATCGGAGATCATGAGTATTCATGGCTTGCACCCTTGCCCTTTACGGACAGAAATTCATCTAGATTCCCTCAATCTTTTAATCATGCTATGCAGAGTAGATCCAAATCCCTTCTCATCATTGTTTCTCTCCCATTTGTGGGTAAATTTGTGATCCTCTGCCCATTTTTGCTCTTGAAAGATTTGACCTTTGCTGGATACTGCTTTTGCACGAAATCATGATTACAGTCACCTGCTGACCCCAGCTGTTTCAAGTCAGATAATTATTCACATTTTTTTTTACCTCATTATTAGTCCTAAATTGCTCCCATGCAAACTTTTTCTGGAATACCATGTGGGCCAAAATGGGAGAAATGGATTTATATCTATAAATAAAATGAAGTTGACCCGACAAAACATATCTAGTCTTTCTGCCCTCTGTAATGAAAACGAAGTCAAATTAAATTGAGAATGTATTCTTTCGCACATTCTCAATTCCGTCCCAATTTTTTCTGAGTTGGGGTTGTATTTTCACAAGCAAACCCATTCTGACACAAATCCAAATATGCACCTCTTCACCACCTCAGATTTCTTTGTCTTTGCTTTTCTTATGGCAATAAATAGCAACTCCACACACTTTTGCACGCACAGAAACACATACATAGCCCATAACATAATCTTACCCTTTCACAGATGAGGTCGTGTTTCCAGGGGATTTATTGAAATTCTTCATCATGTTCTTGGCTCCAGTGATTTGAACTGAGAGTCGGCCCAAGAGGCTTCCTGTGTTTAGGAGTTCAAATGATAAATCTAGGTTGAAATGTGGTTTTTTTTCACTCTAATTTGGACTTTTCACTTTTAATTAACCAGCAAAACTTCTGACTTTGTAAATCACTTGCAACAAATAAGAGTAGAAGTAAGATTACTATTGATCAAACACTGGACCCCTTCAAATCTGAAACACTGACTGATGTAAAAAATATCTGCTCCAGGTTTTACTGGATGTGGTATTCAGCCAACTTGGTAATCCTGCTGTTAAACAGGACCCAATTATTAATCTGAGGTATAGAAATAGACAGGACCCTCAAGGAAGTGAGTCACACAGCCCCTGCGTTGCAGACGGGGAGAACCCGTTTCCTCCGGCCAAGCTATACTGCACCTCCTCTCAGGCGATCAGCTGCTCTGGACTCTTGATTGGCAGATGGTGAGGGGCTGAATCTGACTCTAATCTGTAGGGCTTCAATCTGATGGACCGTGGCTCCTTTGTCAAGGCTATGGGGCTAGAAGCACAGATATAAAAAACCCATTGTTTTACACAACGTCCCAACTTCATAAGAATTTGGGTTTGTATTATTACTATTATTATTATTATCATCATCATCATCATCATCATCATCATCATCATCATCAGTAGTAATAGAAGTTTGTAGCAGTAGCCGTAGCAGGACAGGCAGAAGCTGTAATAGTAGCAGCAGCAGAGGAGCTAGCTCAGTGGTAGTAATTGTATACTGTATGTATTAGTAAAAGTGCTGGTACTTCAATGTGGTCAAGCTCTGTTAGCATTAGCCATATTTCATATAATTTAGAACTAACAACACACAACTGCATTTGACTGTAGGCAAATTAATTTTTAAAGTATTTATTACTGACAATCGTGAAAGTGATTAACCATTATAGTTTTTGTTTGAGGACGCGGTGACAAATTGCTGTTTCTTTTGCCTATAAGCTCAACCAGCGGATTTCATTAGTTAATAATACCTGGTACGTTCTAACTGATAGGTCCAGGTAGTTGGGACAAAATTTTGGGGAGGGATTTTGACTTTCTGAATCTGGATGTTACATCGCTGCCAAAAAGATATTAAGCCAGTCCCCCAACCTCCACACTACGCTGTGGCTGTACTCTGTCAATGTTATAACTCACCGTCTTCGAACTGAGACAGAGCTGGTGCCATCTTACGTTCTCGGCAGAGTTTTCCTCAAAGTTCCACATGTCCAGGGGGATGAGGACCTCCCCAAGAAAGACCTTTCTCTTCAGAGTCCCGGAATGCCACACCAACACCTGCAGTGTCAGTCCAGCCAGCAGAGGGCGCTCGATTGAGAACTGCTCCAAGCAAACAGCATGTAATCAATAAATGACAGAGGCCATAAATACGTGGAAGTTGTCATAGGAAGGTAATAACCAGCCTGTCCCTTCAATGAACACCTTATTCATGATATTAACTTACACGTCATCTGCAGAATAAATTACGCAGTAAAATATTAAAACTTATGCAATTCATTGGTAGCATTAGAAACACACATAGTTTATCATAAAAGTATGTTCAAAGGCTGAGATGATAGCAATGCCTTACAATAATCATCACATCAATGAATATAATTCAATGCTTCCCTTAAATTTCAGGCAAGCACACAAAATATAAGAAATTGGAATAAGCCTGTGCAACTATACTTGTGTAGCCAAAATTGAGCAACAATACAAGAGCTTATTATGTTTCTGATGACTGCGCCATAGAGCAAGAAGCCTCACTCACCGCTAAAGTTTCATTAAAAACAGGAGCTGTGGTGTTCCTCTTAACTGCAGTCTTTAGTTTTCCACTGCCTGGCAGTAGATAGATCTTCACATACCTGAAACATGACACGGAGGTGCACACAGAACGTTCTGAGACCGTGAACCAATTAAAACGCTCTCCACAGCCGAACTCTGATTGGTGAGCCATATACCAATGGCAAGCCAGAGCTCTTCCCACCTTGACAGTTTCAGAATACCCAGTTATCAAACGGGATCAGGCTCTTCTGCATAAATTCATTGAATTCCATCTTATTTTAGTGAACTGGGGGAATTATCACGAAGTTTTTCCATCAGTTTTGTTTTGCACAGGAGTGCTAACTCGCATGCTCACACAGACACACACACAACAACAGAGTCCTATCCTATGGAGATATTTGAATCGTAGAGTGCCATCTAATGGGATTCATACAGTAAACACACAGCTATCTTACGAGTGGCATTTCCTCCTCTTGGGTTCGCCGTAGGGCAGGTTCTTACATGCCCTCACAGAGACCTCCAGTCGGGATGCCTTGTAGTTGTAGCCCAGACCCAACTCGATCTCCCCCACCCTGCCGCCGCTCGGATCGAGTGCCCTCTGTTCCCCATCGACGCTCTCCAAGCTTCCCTTCAGACCACACACCAGAACAGTCATCACCACAGCTTCTAGGATTCATTAAATGTTCAAGGGAGTTTACCAATGTAACATTCGCATACAATTCTCCCCTACAAAGGATTTGTCCTCTAAATTTCCTTTCCATTAACAAATATGTAACCATGTAATGCGAGATAAATGAGTGATCGACAATAGTTGGGACGTTGATGTTCAGCACCGTCCAGTCAAATTCACATCTTAGGAAATCTCAGCAAATTTGTGAATCGACCTGCCAGCTTTTTTTCTTTTTAAACTACGCCGAGGCTTGTTGATGGCTTTAATGCTCGCTACACTTCAATTAGTATTTGTATATTTGTAATTGAATCGGTGAATTCAATAAGGGCCCAACTCCACACATTAAATGTGTGGAGTTGGGCCCATATTGAATTCACCGATTCAATTGTTGAATTATATGCAAGTACTATGCGTTCAGTTCATACACTGAGAAAATGTACTGAGGAAGGCAAATACTGAATTTTACATGACTCCAAATGAAATCAAGTCAGTGCACCCACCCTCTTCTCCAGTGGTAGTTCCGGCCCTGGGGATGTGTCATCATCAGTACAGGCCGGGCTTGACTCCACCCCCTCCTCAGCCTTTGCCCGCCTCATGAGCTCTGAGAGGCTGGGCGCCCTTCCCGTCTGAAAAAGGAGCAGTAAAGTCACTAACATCAGTGTGATTGATTACTTAAAGCGGGTACTTTTCAGAGGGTTCCAGATCTGTGGTCTCCTAGGAGGAAGAGAGTTAATCAAGTCAATCTAATCTATAATAATATTAACAAGACAACATGGTCATCACTATCCCGCACCATGCTCAAGGGCCATAACTCCATAAATATATATGCTTCGACTTCCATTTTCAAACTCAATGTAGATCATGACTTGCTTATTAAGCATACAAAATTTGACCCGTGTAAATGTCATAGTATTCAAGTCAACATGTCTCCATTGAAAGTGTGACGGACAGACGAATGGACAGAAGGAAGGATGGACGAACAAAACCCAGAAATTGAAGAAAAATTGATAATGGCTGTTACTCTGCAAATAACTGACCTACGACAGTAATTTTCGATCTCAAATTAGATCATCACAAGCATGATGTCCCTACAAAATGCCATTAATGTTTGTTGTATAGTTTTTGAGAAAACTTGTCCGGGCTGGAAGTGTGATGGACGGACGGACGGAAGGACTCCGTTCCTATATCCCCCGGACCACCGGAGATAAGAATATTCATCATCGAAACTCCACACAGAAAGGCCACAGGCTAGATTCAAACCCACAACCTTCTTGCTGGGAGGCAGCAGTGCTGCCCACTGCACCACCATGCCATCTAAATATTCTTTTTTTGCTGAAAAATATGAAAAAATTCACATTTCATACTTCAGAGGATAACTCCAAAATTGGCTTATAATCGGGCACAAAGAAAATTCCAGTAGATATAAAAATAATACCTTTAGTTCAGCTGTCTCGGAAATCAAATAAATGTATTAATCCTGACCACAGTTTTAAATTTCTTTCATTTTAAACCAGAAATGTCCCAGATGGGACTATGGAATACTCCCCAAATTCAGCATGGCATTCTACTGAAGAAGCCATTTCCACATATTGTGCACTAAAATAATACTCCAAATACATCATTTTTTAAGTTGAAATTCGACAAAATCTCCACAAATACGAGTAAAATCACTTTCAAAATAGCAGGTGCTTGGGTTGTTATCAAGATTATGATGCATGCCAAGTTTGAAAACAATTTACTGTATGGTTTATGAATAAAACTCTGGACAAAACTCACCCCTCAAGGCAAAATTTTCAGAGTTAAAAAATGGCAAAATGTCCCTGAAAATATATTGGACCACTTTAAAAATTACAGGCACGCAATTTCTCATGATGATAATAATGCAGGCCAAGTTTGAACTGGTTCTACCATATTGTTTAGGAAAAAAGCTTCGGATACAATTTGACCCCAATACTCAATTTTCCAAGTCGAAAAATTGCAGCATCTCCATGAAAATACTCAGGCTCGATTTAAAATTCACAGGTGCTTAGGTTCTTATGGTGATAGTAATGCATAACAAGTTTGAAAAAAATCCACCGATGGGCTTAGGAAAAATGCTTTGCAGAAAATTGTGTCCACGATCGATGGACGGACAGACAAACGGTCTGACAAGCTGATATCCTGTATATCCTTTATAATGAGCTGTGGAGGTTATAAAAATCAAAATGACCACCGTCTTGGATGGGTTTCAGAATTGATTTTGTCTCCGCGTCTTCTATCTGGACAGCAGAAGCGGTAGTAGGTTCTTGAAAACACTTACTGTGTGTGTGTGTGTGTGTGTGTGTGTGGTAATTTTTCTTCTTGTCCTAAAAGAATTTTTCGAACAGGTAATCATACGTCATATGGCCAGTTGATGGCGGTATCGGACTTGCTTCTCCTTTCCTTTCGGTATGACTTGCAGGAGTCTGTCGTCAGTAACGACCGGTCTGCGTTGACATCGTTCTGAGACTTGGAGATTTCTGCGGGCAGAAAACAGGGTTTGCGACGTTTCAGACAAATATTTCCACTTTTACGTTGCAAAAGTCGGCAGACCTGGATTTAAGACTGTACTTGAAGCATGCACGGGAAAAATATCTGCTTCTACATTAATCATTCCTCTATATTTCTTAACAGCAGGCCAAAGTATTTGCACAGAGATAGCGCATAAAAGGGAGTTAATTCCTACATGAGCCAAAGTATGGGTCTAAGTTCAACCTTCCCGTTTCTAAACTCTGATTTGCGGAGTTTTTCCCCAAATCCAATGTGTTGGAGTACTCAATAAAAAATGCAGCACTGCATATTAATAATGTTCATACAAACTCCCCACCACACCCCAATATTTTGCAAAAAATTTTCTTTACAGTGATTTTACGGTAGTGTTTAGCTGGGAGGTCGGTTGTTCAGCTGCATGCGAGGGAGGCTGGGAGAGACTTTCCCTCTGGACTCAGGCTCAGTTTAGCCTAGAAGAAACAATGTGTGCACCTCGTCTGAAATAATAATAATGATGATGGCGTGTAAAAAGCAGTTTCTGGAGCATAAATGTTTTATGAAGCCTGCTTTTCGTGTTCTTCAGGAAAGAAAGGATGACTGAACATAGCAAGCCCACTTCTGCAGCCCTACTGTTCATTCTATTGTGCGTTTTATGGAGTCCTGTAATGTGTTCACTGTGATTTCATTAAAAATGTAGGGCTGAGCCACGATCACACTGCATGATCAAGCTCGTGTCAAGCTCGTGCACTCACTCTTCATGTGTGTCGTCAGGGAAACAAACAGGTTTTCCATGGATTTTGTGAAAGGTTTGGACGTGTGCAGCCCCTAAGATAAATTGAAACACACGTATACACAAATGTCAGCACACACATTCATACACACATTTGCAATCGCATCAACACCCTTACAAAAAAGAAGTATACTTCAAGTTCATTTTAAAAGTACTTCAAGTATATTTCAAGTATACTGGTAGTAAATTTGTAAGTGTACTACTTCAGTACTTCCTGGGACTAATTTAGCCCACTTTAGGTTTATAAATATACAACCCCAATTCCGAAATAGTTGGGAGGAAGTGTAAATTGTGAATAAAATCAAAATGCAATGACTTACAGATCACAAGTCAATATGTTATTTACAATAGAACATAGATAACATTTCAAATGTTGAAACTGAGACATTTTACATTTTTATCCACAAAATGAGCTTTTTTCAAATTTTCTGGCCGCAACAGGTCTCAAAAAAGTTGGAACACAGGCAAAAAAGGGTTGAAAAAGCAATTAATATATAAGAGAATCAGCTGAAAGAACATTTAGCAAGTAATTAAGTTAACTGCCATCAGGTGTGTAACATGATTGGCTATAAAAGGGATGTTTAGACAGGCTGAGTCTCTCAGAAGTAAAGATGGCCAGAGACTCTCCAACCTGTGAAGGCTTGCATTAAAAAATTGTGGAATACTTTAAAAACAATGTTCCTCAACGTCAAATTCGAAAGGCTTTGAAGGTCTCATCATCGACAGTGCATAACATCATCAAAAGATTCAGAGAAACTGTAAAAATCTCTGTGCGTAGGGGACAAGGCCGAAGACCTTTACTGGATGCCCGTGATCTTCGGGCCCTCAGACTCCACTGCATCACTCACTGGCATGATTCTGTCATTGACATTACTAAATGGGCCTAGGAATACTTCAAGAAACCACTGTCTGTAAACAGTCTGCTGTGCCATCCACAGATGCCACCTAAAACTCTATTATGCAGAAAGGAAGTCATTGTTGAGCATGATCCAGAAGCGCTCCCATGTTCTGTGGGCCAAGGCTCATTTAAAATGGACTGTAGCAAAATGGCAAAGTGTCCTGTTGTCAGACGAGTCCAAATTTGACATTCTTGTTGGAAATCATGGGCGTCGTGTCCTCCAGACTAAAGAGGAGAAAGACCACCCCTCCTGTTATCAGTGTTCAGTTCAAAAGCCAGTGTCTCTGATGGTACGGGGATGCATTTGTGCATATGGTGTGGGACACTTGCATGTTTTAAAAAGCACCATGAATGCTGAAAGGTACATAAAGGTTTTAGAGCAACATATGCTCCACTCCAGACGACATCTATTACCAGGGAAGGCCTTGTGTATTTCAGCAGGACAATACAAAACCACATACTGCAGCGATTACAACAGCATGGCTTCGTAGTAGAAAAGTCCATGTGCTGAACTGGCCTGCCTGCAGTCCTGATCTTTCTCCGATTGAGAACATGTGGCGCATAATTGAACGAAAAGTCTGTCAAAGGAGACCCAAAACTCTCCAGCAGCTAGAAGCCTGTATTAAACAAGAGTGGGATCAAATTCCAATGACTGAACTCAAGAAACTTGTCTCCTCAATGCCCAGACGCCTCCACTCTGTGTTAAAACGAAGAGGGGATGTTACACCATGGTAAACAGGCCCCTGTCCCAACTTTTTTGAGACCTGTAGCAGCCATCAAATTTGAAATGAACTCATTTTGTGGATAAAATTGTAAAATTTCTCAGTTTCAACATTTGTTATGTTATCTCTGTTCTATTGTGAATAAAATACTGGGCTTTCTGGTGTGATTTGAAAGTCATCGCGTTTTGATTTTATTCACAATTTACATTTTGTCCCAACTATTTCGGAATTGGGCTTGTACTTTAAGTATGCTTTAAGTGTAAGAGTGGTAAACTGAGCGTACCACAAGTTAACTTAATTAAAAATGTTTAGTTCATGAAAGTATACTTTGAAGTATACTGCAAGTAAACTCAGAGATATACATCATAAAGATTATAATTAATGACACTTTTAGCCCAGTGTTTTATGAGGATCACTTGTCCAATATTTTCCTCGAAATACACATTGCAATTGAATAATACACTGTTTATGATTACTGTATTTCTAGATACTCATATGAATGGATAATTCCACATTGGAATACTATAGGCTGGATTTGATACCTGAATCTACTGATTAGGTAACAGCTACTTCATCCACTGCACCATAGTACTACCTGAAAATAGTGTGCTATTCTCTTTTTTATTCTGAAGTATAAAGTATACTTTCATAAACTAAAAGTGGACTGGTGGTAAATAACCAAACAAGTCTCCAAGAATGTGTTGTGATGTGATGGGTATGGCTGCAGCCTTGTAGCAGGAAGGTTTTGGGATCAAATCCTGCCTGGAGTGATTTCTCTTCATCTGAGTATTTAAATGAATTTTATGAGTGTTTAGAACAATGGGCATGATATGGTCATAAATAGTGGGCAGAATGTGTCATATTATAATTTTTCATAAGGTATTCTATATATGTAAGTTTACTTGCAGTATACTTCAAAGTATACTTGCATGAAGTAAAAATTTTGCATTACGTACACTAGTAGCATATTCAAAGTTTACTACTCTTAGACCTAAAGTATACTTAAAATGTACTTTTATAAACTTAAAGTGAGCCAAATAAGTATTGAAGTAGTACACTTACAAGTATACTACCAGTATACTTGAAGTTTACTTATAAAATGAAGAAGTATACTTCTTTTTTGTAGGGGCATACATGCACGTACATTCACGCCTAAACAGAAACACACTAAGTTAATATACTTGTTTTTAATGTGAACAGATTTCAAGGATCAATGTTTATAAGATTTAATGGACACCAGACACCCAAGACACTTGGATCTGGAGGTATAGCAGTTTATCAGGAAATAAGCCTCACTCACCCCTGACTGGTTGAGGGGTGGAGTCCGTGTATCGGGGGGAGGAGTCGGAGGCACAATGGCAATATTACTGTAAAACACACACACACACACACAC